TGCCATGAAATCATAAACTTTGGCAATTACTTTTTTATTTTGCTCATTTGAGGCGGTTCATGGGTCTATGAAGTGAATTGAGGTGAATTTCAATTTCCCGCTTGTCGCTATCGCAGAGTCATCAAGTGTTTCGACTCTGCAGCACTCGGCGAGTAGTCGATAGCCCGTTAGTATTTGTAGTAGTAATAACCGCCCATAACTGGTTAATATTTTGTGAGTCCTTAGTAATGGCAAGGGATGGGGTACCAATTACTCGCTTCAAACTGCCAGCCATCTATTTCATTAATGGGCTTCGGTTTGCACGGATTTACAGTAGTCACTATGCATGAAATATTTATGTGGAATATGACGATGGGTCCCTGCAGAGAGTACAACTTCTCGAGAGTTTGAAAGAGACTTATATATTTGAGTGATATTGAGAAATGTGACTCACTGGGATAGATACCTTGTAGATTTAAATGTTTCAATAAAATCGGTTCCATCGCCATCTAAATCCATTGCGGAAAAAAAGGCTAAAATGAAAAGCGGCCTGCTTTTAAATGTCATTATCTAGCACAGCGGAAAAAAAGTCAGACGGACGTACATATTCTCTTCCTCGACGACGAGCGAAAAGAGTCGGCGGAGTACGAGAGAAGCGTAGGGGTCGTCACCCGCTGCCGCAACCGCCAGGCACGAAAACGAGAGGCGCAGCTCCGTGAGGCTTTCTCCGGGGAATGCGTCTGTCGAGCTCCGAGGTGACACAGGTGCGATGTCGAAGGTGACGGATGGTTTGTGTGCTTTGTGTGCTTTGGGGGGGGATCTGCTGTTACCTGTTGCATGCGCGGAGAGAGGGAGATGTGTCCTCGATTAGCAATTATGTCGAATTAGGGAAAAAACGTTTAGGGGAATGCCGTTTTATTGATTTGCGAAAAAAAGGATAAGATAAGTTTAGCGAGATGAGCGGTCGATGAGACGGATTGTTGTACTAGGTTGTAACGAAAGATTTTGTGCATAAATACAAAATTTGCACATTTAAAGTACATTACAAGTCCAAGTACAACACGACGGTCCATGCGCCGAATGTAAAGCGCGACGAATATCGCGTTCTCTCCGTATTTCGCGCGCAGTCGAAGGAATTCACTCGTTCCGTCGCGTCGGAGTTGAACCTGAAATCTGGCATCCAGTCCCAGTGATGTAATTGAAATTGTGGAATGGTAACAATTGTCGCATGGCAACAATTGCGAGTGCAATGGCACAATACCTGCGCCTGAACCCTGGATTCCCCCTGGAAGAAAAAGGAAGAAGAACATACCCGGTTTGCATGCATTTTTTTTGTGCAAAATTATGAACTTTGGCAATGGCATTTTCATGCTGCTAATATGTGCTAAAATATAATAAATAAAGAGGTGCATGGATCTATCAGGTTTTTCTTCTTTATTTTCGTACAATAGTTCATGAAAAGTTTGAAAACACGTTATTATTATATGTTGTTTTAAACGCAGATTCCGAATATCTAATCGAAATCAGGTACTTGGAATTGCGGCCTTCATATTTTAGGGGGAAAAATAAAAAACAATGCCAAAGATAAATCTAGACGGGACAGAGAAGGAACTGAATTTAGGCTATTTAAATTTAATATTTCAACATTGTGGCAACATAATAAATTTAGATTAAATATATATATGGATGTCACAAAAACTATGACCAACTCATGGAATTTAGGAATAATGAACATTTTTTTTAATTTCCAAGAGACAGGAAATCCTTTTGATTGGAAATTCGTTACTTACATGCAAAAATGTCAATATTTATCAAATTAAAGGAGACGAAGATATGGTTGCGCCATCGCAATTTTCAATATAATCCAATAATAATATTCTTCATTGTATTTCATCTCATTTCAACTGCGGAGGGCTTTTGGTCCAACAAACGTTTGAAAATTGGTTGGATTCATTTTTGAAGTGCAATTTCACGTTGAAGTCATGTCGATATGTTAACGAACCGATAATATCGATTCGAGCAAAATGTGTATTTCGCAGAGATAGATTGATTAGTTTTTCCATTTAAAGAAAAGTTTTATTGGAGTCGAACTGCATAGCGATGAAAAGGAGGTGGAATTGAGAGTCAGCCTGGATGAAATAATAATGAAACGAATGTCTCTTCCAAGCCGATGGGCGAAGAGAGTCGGCGATTGGGGAAAGGTGATGGAGGCTCCCTGCGGGGGATCGCGCCTGTTCGAGCCCCAGGCGCAGTACAGGCGCGGTGTCGAAGGTGATGGATGGATTGCGCGTGTTGGATGAAGCCTGTTACCGCTGTTACCTGTCTGCTGCTACCTGTTGCGTGTGTGTGGAAACTGGAAATGCGGCCTCGATTAGCAATTCTGTCGAGTTAAAGAAAAAAAGCGTGAAATCGAAATTCGTTCCTTCGATTTCGCGAGAAAGAGAATCGGATTAGAGAAATGGGCGACCGAGTCGGGATGCCCGGATTTCTTCCTGAAAGTGCGGTGTGGGGAACCAAAAAGAAACAAGAAAAATGTGGGTGGAAGCGTCGAGTGGTACGTGAAAGTGCATTTACCAAAAGTGCAGTCGTCAGAATTTATACACTGATCAAAACAATTAGGGGATATTTTAGTTTCTGTCGGATAATTATAAATTTCTGCAAATAATTATATTTATTGGGTGCTTTATACATGAGTGAATATTTATTACTTATGGATAGGGTGCAATTGATGAGATATTGTTTAAATAATCGATAACATCGAATATAAAGTCCGCTTCGAAGTTGCGCCAAATGTTCGATTTCTTCTGGCAAGTCGGGACAAATGCTGATCGTCTCTTGGAGTTGCTGACGATGGGCGACCTTGCCCTTGCCCTCGGCAAACATTTCCCGTCTCCAGAAAGCGATTCCAAAGTCGCGAAATTGCGCTTTGAGATACACGACCCGCTTGAGCGCGAACTTGCTGCGTTCGTCCAGCTTCTAATCGACCAACGGCTCGCCAGTGATTGCCATGGACTCTGGGATGTCATGTTGCTCTGTCGCTTTAAACAAAATAATGGGCGGTAGGCGACACAAGTCTGCAATTGAAGCGATAATTATGCACTGAGCGCAACCAGCCACGCTTTTATACCCCCCACGTGCCAATACGGCCAAGACGCGTTTCGACGTCTTAACACGATTTTGTACGCAGTTGCGTGTTCTACACTATTAAGTATATTTGAAAATAAATGTGTTTACAATTTGTAAATTATTTTTATAACTTTATAATTCACAAGAAAACCAAAACATCCCCCAATTCTTTTGAGCAGCGCATTTGACTGAAAATTCTTGAAATCGGAACCCGCAAGAGACTCTGGGGACTCCAACGCGCGGAATGTCCCGACCCGCGTGGGGCATCCGCAGCTGTCGCTTCCCAGCCTTCGATTTTCATCAACTCATTTATTCGGGGAAGACGCGCGCCCTCGACCGATTCGCGGGGATGATATTGGATAGGCGGTCTCTATGCGATTGTTGGCGACGGTCCCTGGAAAAAAAAATTGCTGAGAAAGAATGAAATATATTGATTATTCATGAAAAGAAATGGAGAATTTCTGGCTTTGCTTCAGGTTCGAAAGCAATTCTCAGCGCTCCCCGTTATTTCAAATTTGACTCTGGCCGGCAGGTCCGCACGGGTCACAAATGGCCACAAATGACCACGGGTGTCATTTGTGACACAAATGAAATATGCCCTTTGAGAATCAAGGACCCTAGGAATCTTATCGAGCGCGGGATGCGCAATGGAGAATTCGCCCATGAAGAAAGCGCAGCGTGATTATACGTCATACGCATGCATCATGCATGGGTATGCATCATGCATCATGCATGGGTATGCATCATGCATCATGCATGGGTATGCATCATGCATCATGCATGGGTATGCATCATGCATCATGCATGGGTATGCATCATGCATCATGCATGCGTATGCATCATGCATCATGCATGCGTATGCATCATGCATCATGCATGCGGATGCATCATGCATGATGCGAGCAGAATAGAATGCGTTGTGAATGCCCGTTTGTAGCAGTCCAAGGAGGGCGAGGCCTTCCATTTTGACTGCAGTCAGGCTATTTATTCATTATGATATCTTGAAGCAGCCCTAATAAAGGAAGCAGATCTAATCGGAATCCAGGTTGCTTATTGAATTAGCCATGTTAACTGGATTTACGAAAGCTTTTGGCGTCATTTGGGGCGATTCCTCAGCAGCTGAATATGCTGAAGAATACGCGATATCGCATGGAGTCATCCTGTCTCCAGAGTCAAAAATCGTCAAAGAAATGAGAATTGGACCTGCCTATCCCGAAGAGCAGTCAGTTTTTCTCAACTCAAATAACCAGAGTGGGTTCCAGGCCATTTGGCTCCCTGCCCCTCATGGCCATCATCGTACTTATCCCAAAATGGGTTTGTGTGACTATTGGCCTCACAGCCAATGTGAGGGTGAACCTATTCTGTCAGATTGAGTCTGTGGCCTATTACTCTACAAGTCAGCCTTACTAAATTTTCCCCATTCAATGTTGGGCCGACAGAACCCAATCCCTGGTTAATATCAAACTACTCGTCAGTGCCTCCATTACAACCGTCATCCAATGATGGAAAAATCGTACGAGCAGAAGTGTGCCTCTTTTAGAAGAAAATCACGTTATTTGCACTCGTGGGAGCTCCGGACTGACACGAATGGAAATAAGGAAAAGCCTACATATATGGGGTGACACATTCCCACACCGCGTTTGTGCCATGCTTCCAGACGCACACCGACCAGCAAGCTCATTTTCATCAGTAACATGCCCCACGCACAGGCCACGTATGGCCCACCGATGAGCGTGCACAAAAGCGCACTTCCTCCTTCCGCTTCAATCGTCCTTCCCAGTCGTATTTAGTACCTCACCATATGTCTCTCGCTATTGCATGATCGCCCTTTTTTTTCTGGACAGGAAATTATGAATAACACTTGAGAAATAGAGGAAAGACAGTTTATTTATTTCTGCAACCCTCATCGTTTTTTGGTGAATTTTTCCTCAACGTTCAATAAACATGCCACACTTTGTTTCCAAGGAGTTTCACGCTCGCGTGCAGAAATGTATAAATATTTTGTTTCGCATCCAATCTTCGTCAAAAAAAAATTCGCAAAAATTCCTCAGCCTCAGCCTTTCGAAGCGGTCTTGTTGGCAAAAATGAACTCGCAGCCTTCGTCCTTCACGAGGTCGTATCCCAGGGAGAGGAGGAAGCCCTTGAGGCTGTCCTTGCCCTCGTCGTTGAAGATGTGTTCCACCTCGACGACGTGGAACGCGATGCGGTGGAAGGGCAGGGTCTTGCGCACCTGGAGCTCCAGGCCCTCCACGTCCAGGCTGAAGAAGTGAACCCGGACGCCCAGAGCGTCCAGGAGCATATGCAGCGGTTAGCACTTAACCAGGGCCGAGTAGATGGTCGTCCCATTCTTCACCGGACCCTTCACTTTCCCCTTCTGGCTGATCCCGCCTCCCCACGAGGCAATTGGATCGTTCGGATCGTATGGGTACTCCATCACCGCCTGGATGAAATTTGCAGGGCGTGTTATCCCTCTAACCGTGTCATTTACTAATTACCTCATATTGAATAATCAATATGCATTTCCCTTTCGTCAACCCGCTCCATTCACAATATTAACCCCGCTCGTATTCCATCTGAAATTATCTAGAGAAACGAAATAGGACATGCCACTTGCCTCTCCGGAATTAAAAAAAATTCCCCTCTCTCTCTCTCTTGGGTAGCACCTCTTTGGCATGGGATTAGCATGTCTTTGGACGGCTAGGCATCGTGCACGGACATATCGAAGCAACAGAATGGCGTCCAACATGCATTTTAACCCTGGAGGCGTTCTCCCCTCAGATTAGAACCGCACAAACGGTTCGAGAAACTCCTTATGACGACGCACGTACTCGTCGAGATGTTTCGAAAACGTTTGGGATTCGCGTGGTGCGATGGAAGGGGGTGGCTGTTGAAGGAAGGGAAAAAACTTTTGAGGATTCTTTTTGCACTCTACTTCCTGAGAAATTATTGTCCCTTCGTTTCTTCACCTCGGCTTCACCGAGTTTCATTCGAAATTTAATTTCGGGGGGGAAAAAAGCGAAAGAAGGAACGAACTTTCCACGAAACCATCATTACCATCAATAGCAGAAGCGAAAATATCTCGCAATGAAGCACTTCCACTCACGTGAATGACATTCTCACTCGGCGATAGGCAATACGGCGCAAGCCAGGCGTTTCTCTTCTGGTTCGTCATCTTCAGGAAGAGGTGGGGATTCGGTTCGACCAAGAGGCCCGTCCAGCCGAGGTTCTCCTCCAGGTACAGCGTCTTCGAGATCGTCCGTCCGTCCAGGGCCCCGGCCTCCAAGAAGAACTTGTTGCTCCGACTCTGCGGTGGAAGTCTGAGGCTGAGGGTTCCGTTCGTGGGTGTCCCTCACGATTAGGTTTAGATTCCTCTATACCTAATCGGCCCATCCTGCATCAGCCATCGGCAATATGGGCCGATGAACTGCAACACCCATTGGGAGTTGGCTCAGGTAGCATGGCGTTCACTTGTGATTGAACGAATCGGCTGATGTCGAGTCGAGTGACCTCTCTGCTTTGATTTCGCGTTGGATAGAATCTTCGGCAACATCGAAGCAGCGCCGGAGGATCGCCGGTGAACTACCATCCAACATTATTCCACATCCATTGTACATCCGTTTCACATCCTTTCCACATCCATCCAACACGACATATTTTATCGAACCTTTAATTGGAGAAGACATTACTGCAAGCGTTATCGCACAGGGAAAAAAAGCATTTGGGCATGGCTTCGGGCACATGTTCCCCTATCATGAATGAGCAGCGTTTAGGCATCATCAGCGACGTCGACGCCGCACTAATTTTTTTCTGTAAGTTATCATGAAAGGCAATTAGTTATTTTTTATGATGAAGAGAGAGGATGAGAATGGTTGCGGGAAAAAGAAGCTTCGTTGTGGTCCAGCGGATTGGAGCGAATGGGGACAATGCGATACGATGCATGGATGGAATCTGACCGATGAAACACACTTGCAGAACAAAGTGGCTGATGATGAAGGAGATGAGGACACTGCAAATATGTCCCTCGAGACAGAAGAATCAGTCGATGTCGACGAAGTCAACCAAGTCCAGTCGAGTCGTCCATTCATCCAACGCGACCACAGACTCCCTTGCGCGTCCACGTGGACGAGTCATCTCCAGCCAGTGTCATCGCAAAAGAGAAGAAATGCACTTGGGCATATTCAGTGGGCGAGGCAGCCAGTCTAAATTTTAGTCACGCAATTGTCGCAAATGGATTAAGACGGCCGTTCGTGCGAACTTAAGTGGATCTAACTCCCTCGTCACTCCCAAGATGTCTCTCACGTCATGATAATAATTTGGAATTTTTATAACTATAAACGATCTGCAGCTACCGTATGCATCTTTACAAATTTAAACATCTTAATGAAGGACCGTGTTCACTTATTCCATGAAGTTTCTCTGCTAAACAAAATTTGTTTCAATCCGGATTTTCAGGTTTTTGTTTAGTTTTTAGATTGATTCGATTCAGTTGGATTTTTTTTAGGCTCTCACTATTGCATATTTGCCCTATTTTTCTTCTTCAGGCATGACGTCTGATATAGAAAATTATGAGTAACACACAGGATCTAAAAAGACGACATCTGATTTATTTCTGCAGGCCTTATCGTCTTTCAGTGAATTTATTGAAGTCCATAATGTTTCCATCATTTGGGATACTTGGGATTCGATTCCACTGGGCAACCATATATTTCCTCAACGTTCATTAGATATACAACACATTGTTTCCAAGGAGTCGTACGCGAGCGTGCAGAAATGTAAATGCATTTTTTTTTGCCTCCAAACATTGGTCAAAAAATCGCAAAAATTCCTCAGCCTCAGCCTTTCGAAGCCAACGCCGTCTTGTTGGCGAAAATGAACTCGCCGCCTTCGTCCTTCACGAGGTCGTATCCCAGGGAGAGGAGGAAGTCCTTGATGCTGTCCTTGCCCTCGTCGTTGAAGATGTGTTCCACCTCGACGACGTGGAACGCGATGCGGTGGAAGGGCAGGGTCTTGAGTACCTGGAGTTCCAGGCCCTCCACGTCCAGGCTGAAGAAGTGGACCGTCCGGACGCCCAGAGCATCCAGGAGCATGTGCAGCGGTTAGCACTTAACCAGGGCCGAGTAGATGGTCGTCCCGTTCTTCGCCCGACCTTTCAACTTCCCCTTCTGGCTGATCCCACCTCCCCACGACGCAATTGGATCGTTCGGATCGTATGGGTATTCCATCGCCTCCTGGATGAAATTGACAAGGCGTGCTATCCCACTAAACCGTGTAATTTATTGAATACCTCATAATAAATAATCAATGTGCATTTCCCTTTTTCCTACCCGTTCCATTGACAAGATTGAACCTGCTCATCAGCAAAGAAGGAAATGGAAAATTGCTGACGAGCCTGGATTAACGTTATAGAAAAATAAAAATTACACAATTCCAAATACGTCAATCAGCCATACGACGAAGCCAGATTGGTTTTAATTTGATTGCCACCATGACCTCCCTTACACCGGTCATGCATTGATGGAAAAATCCTGCGAGCAGAAGTGTTCCACTTTCCGAAATAAAATCACGTTATTTGTACTCGTGGGAGCTCCGGACTGACAAGAATGGAAGTAAGGAAAAGCCTACATATATGGAATGACACATTCCCACACCACTTTTTGTGCCATGCTTCTAGGTAAAGACAGACCAGCCAGGCTATTTATATCAGTAACAATTCCCACGCACAGGCCACATATGGCCCACCGACGAGATTGCACAGAAGTAGCCTTCCCTCTTCACCTTCAATCGGCCTTCCCAGGCGTGTTTAGTACCTCACCAGATGTCTCACCTAGTCTCACTACAAGAATCAATAAGCGCGGGCATTTAATCATTTTCATTTTAAATAATAATCAACATTAATCAGGAAATATCTAATCTGTGCCCCATTCTTACCACATCCATTCCACATCCATTCCACATCCACTCCACATCCATTCCACATCCATTTCACATCCATTTCACATCCATTCCATTTCCACTCCACATCCATCCCACATCCGTTCCACATCCATTCAATAACCACTCCACATCCATTCCACATCCACTCCACATCCATTCCACTTCCGTTCCACATCCGTTCCACATCCGTTCCACATCCGTTCCACATCCTATCCACATCCATTCCTCTTCCATTCCAGAGTCATCTTACACAACCACAGATTCTCTTGCACGTCCAAGTGGATAAGACATCTATTGCCATCGTCATCGCACAGGAGAAGAAATGCACTTGGGCAGTGCATATTGAGCATTTTCTTTTAGCATGAATGTGCTTCATTGAAGCATCTTCTGCGGGTCAGGCAACTAGACTGACTTTTAGTCACGCAATTGTCGCCAAGGGAGTAAGACAGCCGTTCGTGCGAGCTTAAGTGGATCGAACTCCCTCGTTACTCCCAATATTTCACTCCCGTCATGAAACTAAATGGGAATTTTTATAATTTTGGATGGGCAAGGGCGACCGGAAGGTTTGGATTTCCTCCCGGAAGCGAGGAATTCGAAAATATGGGGGAAAATATGTGGAAGTGTCTAGTGGGATATTGAAGTGCATTTATCCAAAATCCATTGCTCAGAATTTTTCATAATGATGAATAATCACCAACATTATTCCACTTCCATTCCAAATCTATTCCGCGTCCTTTCAACATCCATTCCACATCCATTCGGCAACACTCCAAATTTTCTTGCACATACACGTGAATAATGCATGAACTGCCAGCATCACTGAACAGGAACGAAAATGACCTTGGGCACTGCATTCGGAAAATTTTCGCCAGGCCCAAATACACTGCATTTTGGGATCTTCAGCGAGATAGACACCAGCTCTAACAATTAGTGAAACAAGCGTCAGTCGGTGAAGAAGATGAGGATTCTGCGAAAGAGTCGCTTGCGGTCGATGAATCAGTCATTGTTGACGAAGATCCAGTCGTCCAGCCCCATGTCGGCCACGAAGACATCGATGTGGAGCGGACTGGTAGAGACGATCTTGGGGGCGAGGACGATGCCACCGGAGAAATAGGCGCCGAAGAATCCGAAGGTCCCGACAGAGACGATGCTGTGATTGCTGTGACAGAGGACAGCGAAGTCAAAGTCCCGGCCTCGGCCTTCCACGAATTCTACCGGCATGTTCTCGTCCTCGCTACTGATATTCTCCCTGCTCCATTTCATATCGTCACTGACCAGGACGAACACGATGCGGGGGAAGAGGAGACCGAAGAGTGCCATGGCTCTCTGAAAATACGAAGCAGTCACTGGCTCGCCACCGAACAACAATCGATTGTGGCGGATCTGGTCCGTGCGGCGAACGTGGATCGCGACGAATATCGAGTTCCCTCCGTATTTCGAGCGCAGGGAAGAGAAAAAGGAATACACTTGTTGCGTCACGTTGGAGTTCAACCTGAAATCCGGCATCCAGTCCCTCCTGAATTCGTGAAAAAGCTCTCCATCGAGTGGGTAACCAGTGAGAAACGCATCCCTATCTTTCACGAGCTCCGTGTCGTTCCAAGGCGGGACGATCTTCCCGTACGGGTGGCTGGTGCCTGCGGTGGTCCAATTCCTCGGGGAACATCCATTCTCGTTCTGTCTTCGCAGACCGAGATGCGGGAAGAGCGGCTGGAGCTGCTCGTACAGCAGCCCGCTGAGCACGGGGATCTTTCCGTGCCTCCTCCCGTACGAGAAGGTCGTGACGTACTCGGCGATCATGTTTCCCAATCCACCTATGTCCGGCACAGTCACGAATGTCACATTTCGACACTGTTCGGCCGTCAGTGGGAATCTCGGCCAGACCCACGGCACGCCGTGAACCGCCTCGAAATACCTCGTCTTCCCGTTCATCAGGTTCATCTATCGCATCGTCCTTATTTCTTCCTCTGAGTTCATGAAATGCTGAAGGAGCTGCCCGGAGAATTGATACAATTGAAATTGTGCAATGGGAACAATTGTCGCAATCACAACGAGTACAATGCCACAAGTTTGGAGTTGGGATTCCAAACTTTCTGCAGTTAGGGTGTACATCTTTATTTACTTAAGCATCTTCATTAAGAACAGTGTTCACTTAAAAGAATCCCTGCAAAACAACAATTGCTTCAATCCGGATTTACATGTTTTCAGTTTTTAAATTTCTTAATTTCATTAGATTTTTAAGGGTCTCACTATTGAAATCGCCCTTTTTTCCCTTCAGACGTAACGTCGGACAGGAAATTATGAATAACACTTGATATATAGAGGAAAGTCCCAAAGACGAGAAATAAAATCGAGAGCGTTGTTGAACGGATATAGGACGGATACGAAATGGATTCTGAATGGATATGGAATGGATGCGAAATGGATTCTGAATGGATATGGAATGGATGCGAAATGGATTCTGAATGGATATGGAATGTATGCGAAATGGATTCTGAATGGATATGGAATGGATGCGAAATGGATCCTGAATGGATATGGAATGGATGCGAAATGGATTCTGAATGGATATGGAATGGATGCGAAATGGATCCTGAATGGATATGGAATTGATTCGGAATGATGTCGGATGGCAGTTCATGTGCCGCTTCAATTTCCCCGAAGATACCCTTTCCACGTGAAAATTAAGTCAGAAGTGGCCTGAGCATCAACCGAATTCGCTCAACTTGCAAGTGAACCCACTCCATCAGCCCAATCAGCCTATCCTGGAGATGGCTGATGCAAGATGTGTCCGTGATGTTCCAAGGAATCCAATCCGAACGGTCACTTTGTATGCTATCTGCTTCATGGGGTTCTGATTAGATTATGAAATACTGACAAAAAAAAACCAAGGGAATCCTGGAACATTTTGAAACCGAATCCGAAAGGCATGCACAAGGCCATCGACACACGAAGGGAGCCACGCTGTATCCCCCATGCCCACACATCTGTGGGATCTGCACGCACTTATCGCACAGGCGGGCAAAAGGAATTACAAGGATAATTACTGGCAAATGGAAAACGCACGTGCAGCAGCTTTCACGGGGAAATACAGAACAATTTTCAACACAGAAAGGAATATCACCCTCGCAATCACGGCCGATCAACACTCCGCAGCAACCAAGCCCGGTGATGTTCCTTCATACACCAATCATGTCCTCATATACAAATCCGACTTATCGGCCGAAAGCCGAACAGCCCTGCTTTGCAGGATGAGAAATGGTGGACGAATTCCGACATCAGAGACGAGGGTGCGGTTCCGCAGAGCCCTGTTCGGGCTACGAACCGGCCCTCCTTCCTCTCCAAACTTTCTACCCGCGCAGGCCTCTATGGTTCCGACAGGCCGACGGAGAAACCGACGCGCTCACAAGCGTGATTGTGAGCGCATTGCCCATTAGGATGTTATCGACTTTTTTTTTAGCTCAAAAATGAGGGAGAATTAAATGTGAGTTTTTGGAAAGTGTAATCAGGCATCAGTTGATTCCAATTTTGCTGTGACTCTTGCAGCAGGTAGCTAATTTTGCTGGGGCATCACTGACAGATCAACCGAGTTGTTAAAAGTTCTGCAAGCTCGTGGACATACACTGAGCGTCAATAGAAGCGGAGGTTAGATTTTTTTCGGTTAAAAGCTGCTTGATGCATTTTCTTTCGTAATAAAATTGTTGAAATTTCTTTTAAACTTATCCATTTCTTAATTCCACAGAACTGGAAATTAAGAAAGTCTCTTCGGTTTTGACACATTTTAACAGGCACCAGTAGAATCTCTTAGATGGCAAAAATAGAAACTGTCCATTTCAGTCCGGCTCCACAGGCACCGTACCTGCCACGCCCACGCACCTGTGTGACCTTGGAACTCCGCAGACGCGATCCCAGGGAGTTTCAGCCGTGCATCCCTCAGAGCGGCGTCCCACGTGGAGGACGGAACTGCATCGCTTTTTCGGCCACGAGCCAGAGGCATCATGAGGGCGAGTGACAACCCCACCGGTTCACCTCATCGTTAAAGATCCATCCCTCTCCTCATCCTTCCCTCTCCTCATCCTTCCCTCTCCTCATCCTTCCCTCTCCTCATCCTTCCCTCTCCTCATCCTTCCCTCTCCTCATCCTTCCCTCTCCTCATCCTTCCCTCTCCTCATCTTTCCCTCCCTTGTCTTCTTCTGCGGCAGTTCTTGGGTTAACACCCATCTTTTTGATCAGCTGAAGTTAAAAAAAAGCAACCCTGCCGAAAATTGACCCTTGGACGCGTAACTTTTGCGTCACCCTGTGCTTTCGCGACTTGCTCTGTAACCCCATTGGCGCACCGCAAATTTTGATCGAAATCGACGCGGCTCGTGACGTTTAGAGCGACGGAAGTCTGAAACCTGTGCAACAAAAGAAATAGAGCCAGAGAAAATGAAACCAGAGGATGGAAAACCAGAGGAAGTCGCGAAGCCAGATTCGGTAGCGAAGCCAGAGGAAGCCGCGAAGCGCAGATACGACCCTCACACTACAGAGCACCCACATCCATCCGCAGGGACGCAGTGCTCGGGCAGCCGACGGCGTCGTCGCGCGTCCACGATGCCTCCGCGTCCTCGACTCTTCCCGCCCTCCGTCCTGCTGTGCGCGGCGTCGCTCGTCGTCGCCGTGCCCTTCGTCCTCGTCCTGACTGATTTCTCCTCGCGCTTCCAGTGCCGGCCGGCCGGGGACACCCTGGACATGATCCCGCCGGCGTTCCCGGGCGTGCAGCGACCCAAACGCGACGCCGACCCGAGCGAGGGGCAGATGACGAAGAGGATCATCGTTTCGCTTTTCCCCGTTGAGGTCAGCCGTCCCCCATTCCGACAGTGGTGCATCACTAAGATCTTTTTTTTTTATTATTGCCATAATTATCGGAGTGCCAAGAAAGTTATGAATGCACTCTGAGCATAGTTTTTCTCAGCTCACTCCTAATGAAGCGGTTAACAATTTATTGCATGACGTAGCAGACACGCTACATACCAAAGAAACATTTTCAGAATGCGCAGGTAGGTAAACATGTTCGTAGCAGATGTATAGCTGTCCGGTCCTTATAACTAGCAACCATGAGGTCGCTAGGTGCCAATCTAGGTGCTAGGTGGCAATCAAATTACACCCAGTCTGCCTTCGTCGACTGACGTTGTTGGAATTTTATTTAAAAATTTGCTCTGAAAATTTGCGTTAATCCAGGGTCCAGGCTCGCCCGCATTTTTACATTTCCTTTTTTGCTGACTCATGCACGGACTGACTGAGCATGTGCATGCCGCATGAGTCGAGTCTAGTTTCGAATAAAAATAAATAAGTCATACTTTCCTGAAATGAAGTCTCAAATAGCAATTTAAAAAATGGTACTGGTTTTTTGCCTTTACTTTCGCGGGAAGGTGAGCTGAATTAGTTTCGCAACTCGGAACAGGATGAATTTCGAAAGACAGTAATTACAATAACTACAGTAATTACAATGTACACAGAGATGATCCTTTATTAAAGGTCCCCCTGGACTTCACAATTATTATTATTCAGTTAATATTCAAATTATTCCAAATCCGCAGAGTGATTCACATGTGAACTGACAATTTCCCATGTGGAATTGTGTGGACTTACTGTGGACAGTTGTGGACTGATGTGGACAAAGACCCCAAGTGAACTTGTGGAAATGAGAAAATCCCATGTTGACTCTATGTGGTTCCTCTTAATCCACTCGTGATCCACATGTGGATGCATCCAAATCCTCCTGGTGCACTTCGGGTAGTCCACACGTGTGGATTTCTCGTAAGGGACACCCGAGGGAATCCCGAGCGAAAGCCTCAGACTTCCACCGCAGAGTCGGAGCAACAAGTTCTTCGTGGAGGCCGGGGCCCTGGACGGACGGACGATCTCGAAGACGCTGTACCTGGAGGAGAACCTCGGCTGGACGGGCCTCTTGGTCGAACCGAATCCCCACCTCTTCCTGAAGATGACGAACCAGAAGAGAAACGCCTGGCTTGCGCCGTATTGCCTATCGCCGAGTGAGAATGTCATTCACGTGAGTGGAAGCGCTTCATTGCGAGATATTTTCGAGCCTGTTACTGATGGCAATGATGCTTTCATGGAAATTTCGCCACTTTTTTCTCGTTTCTTTCCCCGAAATTAAATGTAGAAGGAACCTCGGTGAAGTCGAGGTGGAGAAATGAAAGGACAATTATTTTTATATACAGTAGAGTGAAAACCATTTTCGAATGTTTCTCCCTTCCTTCAACCCGATCCCCCCCCCCCTCGCACCACGAGAATCACAAACGAAGCGATTGGAGGAGATCTGGGTGGAGAATGTCTTCAAGATTGAAATGCATGTTGGGCGCCATCCTATTTGTTTCCATATGTGCGTGCCGGATGCCTAGACATCCCAACACATGCTAATCCCATGCTAATAAGTTGCTACACCAGAAAGAGAGAGAGGGTGACAATTTTCATCAAAATTTCCTCATTCATTAAGATGGAATACGAGCAGGTTCAATATTGTGAATGGAACGGGTTGAGGAAAAGGAAAATGCAAATTGATTAATTCTCATAAGGTAATTAACAAATGGCTCGGTTTAGTTGGATAGCACGCCTTGTGAATTTCATCCAGGCGGTGATGGAGTACCCATACGATCCCAACGATCCAATTGCCTCGTGGGGAGGCGGGATCAGTCGGAAGGGGAGAGTGAAGGGTCCGGTGAAGAACGGGACGACCATCTACTCGGCCCTGGTGAAGTGCTACCCGCTGCACATGCTCCTGGACGCTCTGGGCGTCCGGACGGTCCATTTCTTCAGCCTGGACGTGGAGGGCCTGGAACTCCAGGTGCTCAAGACCCTGCCCTTCCAACGCATCGCGTTCCACGTTATCGAGGTGGAACACATCTTCAACGACGAGGGCAAGGACAGCCTCAAGGACTTCCTCCTCTCCCTGGAATACGACCTCGTGAAGGACGAAGGCGGCGAGTTCATTTTCGTCAACAAGACGGCGCTGGCTTCGAAAGACTGAGGAATTTTTTAGATATTTTTTTTTTGCCGATATTGGATGCGAAACAAAATATGTATACTTTTCTCCACGTTCGCGTGCAACCCCTTGGAAACTATGTGTGGCATGTTCAATGAACGTTGAGGAAAAATTCGCCAAAAAAAGATGAGGGTTGCATGCTGAGGCGATAGTAATTGGTAAGAGAGGGCTCACCAATTACTCGCTTCGAAGTGCCAGCCATCTGTTTCATGAATTTGCTCTGCTCTGTGCTGTTGTACAGTTGTCAATAAATATGAAATATTCATGTGAAATGTGAAATGAAATCCCTCCAGAGTGTAAATGTTCTGTTAGGAGACAAATATATGTTATCAGGTAAAGGAGGCCTTAACTCTTTCATGGTCAGTGGTACATAAGCTTTTACACCTTTTTTCAATGCATAGAAACATGGTGGTTCAAAAATGCACCAGCAACACTGGTGGACAAAATTAAGGTTACACCGTTTTTCTTCTACAAATACGATGGTAAATGAAAAGGTGAAAAGACATTACCATATGTTCTGATAAATCCAGATTACGAATATTTAATCGAAATCAGTTGCTTGGAATTGCGGCCTTCATGTTTTATGGAAGCAAAAGAATCTAAGCGGGACAGAGAAGAAACTGAATTTAGGCCATTTAAATTTAATAATTGCATATATATATATAGATGTCACCAAAAAAGGTTTGCGACAAAAAAATTTTGAATTGAAAGTCAGCCATCTCTGAAATGTCATCATCCAGTGCATCGGAATCCACATACTGTACATGAGACGCAGTTTACCGAATCACCTAACCATGATAAAGAAAGGTGAGAGTGGTCCCATATTGATTGTCATGGTCTAAAACCTTGCACAAAAAAAATATAATGCGTTAATGGTCTGAAACATTTCCCCTGCAAAAGGTGTGCGCCCGGGTCAATCTACCTCCAAAGTCTGAATTTTCCTGGAATCAGCATCCCAATAGGTACATACATAGCAAATTTCATCATTCCATCCTATCTAGAAGACGGTTAGAAACGTGGTGAGAAACATGGTTAGAAACGTGGTTAGAAACGTGGTTAGAAACACGGTTAGAAACACGGTTAGAAACGTGGTTAGAAAGGTGGTTAGAAACGTGGTTAGAAACGTGGTTAGAACGCGGTTAGAAACGTGGTTAGAATTGCGTCAGTCAGTCACTAACGGTCGTCCATAAACAGGGTGGTCCTCAATTGTCTCCCCAAAGTAAAAGCTTATTACTCAGAGAGTATACATCCGATTTTAATGATATCCTGACACTAACGATAAACAATTCAGAATAATTTTATTGTGGAAAATGTCAGCACTCCCAAAGAAACGAGAAGTTACACCTTAACAAATGAAGGGGCCAAAGCGCGAGTTCTCAATGACTTCCACAATTATCTCAGTTACTTGGTGAAGTTCTCTTGCGGTCTTGGTGTAGCCTTGGTAGTGTCTTGGTGCATCCTTGGTAGTGTCTTGGTGCATCCTTGGTAGTGTCTTGGTGCATCCTTGGTAGTGTCTTGGTGCAGCCTTGGTAGTGTCTTGGTGCAGCCTTGGTAGTGTCTTGGTGCAGCCTTGGTAGTGTCTTGGTGCAGTCTCTCTTTGAATGCCAGCCGAATTATTTCAATCGCCTCTGGTTCTACTGTGGCGAAGGCATCTCCAGGTTGTCGTTGAGACACTGAAGAAAATTTTCGTTCGCGACCCTCTCGTGAAATCCATTCGCGATCTTCTCAGGGACTGAGGGCATCTGGCCTCAAACTGAAGAAATATCCCAATTTTCCGCCCACAAAAATTGCACTCTTCAAAATTGAAATTTTGCCAAGATTTGCATCGAACCAAATGGCATCATTCTTTCTTCGGCAGGAACCGAGGGCACCCATGACGAAGACAATCCCTCGCGATGCATGAAAAGCCCACGAATGAATTGTGAAGCTCAAGATGGATTTGCGAATTTCAGAAAGGGTTGCGATTTTTGCAGGCCTTAGTTGCACGAAATGGGTGCTTTCAAATGTTGTTATGTATCTTTATACTAATTTTGTTATGGAGAGCTGACATTTTCCACAGCAAAAGAACATTTTGAATTGACTATCGGTTGAATTTGATATAATTAAAATCGGACGTATACTTCCTGAGTAATAAGCTTTTAATTTGGGAGACAATTGTGGACCGCCCTGTATACTAGATGGATGGATTTCGGCAGCAGAGTCAGTCATTGTTGACGAAGATCCAGTCGTCCAGCCCCATGTCGGCCACGAGGGCGTCGACGTGGAGCGGACGGGCGGAGAGGATCTTGGGGGCGAGGACGAGCCCGCCCGCGAAGTAGGCGGCGAAGAACCCGAAGGTCCCGACGGAGACGATGCTGTGGTCGCAGCGGGCGAGAACGGCGAAGTCGAAGTCCCGGCCCGTTCCTTCCAGGAAGACGGCTGGCCTCCCGGGAACGTTCCGCCTGCTCCATCCCGAGTCGTCGCTCGCCACGATGAACACGGCCCTCGGGAACAGCCGGCCGAAGTGGGTCGTGGCCCTCCGGAAGTACCTCGCGGTCACCGGCTCGGCGCCGAACAGCATCCGATTGTGGGCGATCTGGTCCGTGCGGCGAACGTGNCGGATTCCTCCTTCCTTCCGGAAACGGCGCCGGATTCCTCCTTCCTTCCGGGAACGGCGCCGGATTCCTCCTTCCTTCCGGGAACGGCGCCGGATTCCTCCTTCCTTCCGGGAACGGCGCCGGATTCCTCGCGTCTTTCTCCATTCCCCGCGGTTGCCGCCTTTGCCGTTCCCGCAATGAGGGAATTCCCGCGAGGAGCATGAGGGTTCCGAGCACGACCAATGCAGTCACAGGGTATACCCTCACGCCTCGCCCCAACTTCCTGGATCCAAGACGAACGCAATGGATTAATGATCATGCTTAGCGACGAAAAAAAAAACTAAATAAGGCAATAGTTACTTGATTTCACTTCAATGAATACTGGAGTATTTCGCACTAGTTGAAATAGGGAGGGGCAGAGTCAAAAATGACATTACACGGTGTCGAAAAATGCAGGTAAAAAGAGAAGTCAAAGAGAATTGCATGGTTCCTCATGGTTCCTCATGGTTCCTCATAGTTTCTCATGGTTCCTCATGGCTCCTCATGGTTCCTTGACTCGCCGCACACTTGACTCATTTCGTTTTTAGGAGAGATGTAATTATTCGCAATTATGGCTTTCCAAGCAAGGAGGATCTCACGAAGAATTGCAAATACGAGAGAAATACGGAAATGCATACGGAATTTGTGTGCGAGAAACTGCAAAGAAGAAAGAGCTTATTAGCGCGAATTAGCTTAGTGTTTTAGAGACTGCAGGAACTTGGCAACGCTTTCAGTCAGAGCTTGGAGAGCGACGAATACCCAAGCGTGCTTTTTCAGGATGACTCACTAAAGTACTTGCTTGGAATCATCCCAAGCAGCAAGCTCTTCAGGTATCAAACAAGGTATCAACCTTTTGTAAACAATGCCAATGTTTACGATTGGGCATGCAAATAATGTCACATTCGCATAAAATGTACGTTCTTTTACACACATCGCTGAATTGGATGCGCATTTCACACTAGCGAGTTGGTTTGCAGGAACATTCTTCCATTGACCGAATTTCACCTTTCCATTTCTGCCCGATTCGATAAGACGAAAAACATTATTACCAAACAAAAACACGCCCCCAAGGCGTGCGACCGAAACTTAACATTTTTCTTTGAACGCAGTGTCTTAAAATGCACGTCCAATTCACGTTTCAACTTTCCATGTCTCTCCGTTTCACTGAAGGAAATAAATATCATTGGCATGATCTCCCCCGAATTGGGTGCCCTCCGGGGATGTACCTGAACTCTGCATCCCAATAGCTAATTGTGACCGAGTTTCAGATTTCTAACTTCATGCTTACTACATGCTTAGTAACTACATGCTTAGTATTAGCGTAAGTCACGATAGGCAATATATACATAGGTATATAGATAGATAGATTAATATAAACGCGTCGGTTCGGACCTTCACCGCCATAAGTCGAGGACGAAAGAGAACAAATTAAGCACTGGATATGTACTGTACATGTATTAGAAGACGAGAATGAACGAGAAAACAGCATACATTTTCCTTCCGGCTGTCGACGCCCTTGACACCAAACTCGAACATCGGACACTGTGGATGGCGTTTTCCAGCCGCTTCCAAGCGAGGAGTGAAACCTGCAGCATTCGTCCTCCATAGCGCAGGTGCGCTATGGAGGACGAATGCTGCAGGTTTCAAAAGTGCTCGCAAGTGCCAGCGGACGCCTCGGGATGACACCTGTGCCACCGAGTGCACCTGTGTGTTCGAAATTCGAACGGTGCTGAGAGGAGCGACCGCATCGCCGCCATCAAGGATCCAAATGCTCCGTGTCGATTCTTCGACGGACACATCGTTGTGACGTCACAAAGTCTGAGCGCGCCCAAGACAAGCAACTTCCATTTGCATCCCATCTCGTTCGGTCGTCCACGGACAATAGAATGAATTACAAAAATTCCGAAATTCAGAATTAAAAAATTTCAACGAAATTGAGATGTGCTTAAGACTGCAAAGGTTAATGCTTCTCAGCGGTTGAGGGAATTTTGCCACAATACAATAAGATCTCGACGCAAAAGAAACCGGGTGAGGGCTTCCGAAGATGGCAGAGAACACATCGAAGCTGACCCACGGCAGTTGAAAGAAATGCCCGACAAAATGTGTGGCAATATGTGACAAAATGTGACAAAATGTGGCAAAATGTGACAAAATGTGACAGAATGTGACAAAATGTGACAAAATGTGACAAAATGTGACAAAATGTGACAAAATGTGACAAAATGTGACAAAATGTGACAAAATGTGACAAAATGTGTGACAAAGTGTGTGACAAAATGTGTGACAAAGTGTGTGACAAAATGTGTGACAAAATGTGTGCAAGTAAATTGCTACGGGCCCCAATCAATTGAAGTGATTTCATTCCTGATTTTGCAGTTGCAATGCAAATTCTGCATTGAAAATTTGCTGCAAAAATTATGCTTCTTGGACAGGAATTGCCGATTTTCTGTGCATTTCACGACCTTCCTTCACCATTTCCCCCAAAATCGGGCAACGAGAGAAAAATGGAAGGCAATGTAGGACACAGCTCATTTTCTCCTGCCATTTCTCCTGCGTCACGCCCCGGCATGTCAATAATCATTCCAGAATTCCACGATGCAGCAATTCTGCATTTTAAGCGACTGAAACCCCGCGAGGATTTCTTGCGGAATCCG